TACATGAGTGATTAGACAGCATTTAATATTAAAGGGTACCATAAATTCTTGAGGAGAGACTCACCACGATTACCTACGAGCCACTTGTAGATCTCAGAAGGATATGCAAGGGATTCACAATGGTATGCGCTCGTCTGCTCCTTATCTATATGTAAGAAAATATAATCCTGAACACGTATCAAGGTCATTTCTTTCTGGATTGGCACAATTTTATCGCATAATTATCAACAATTTATTAAGCAAATGTAGTGAAGTCGGCTACAAAAATATTCAAATGTATACCATTTTGGGGCACCGCTCATCTTTCAGCTACGAAGAACTGAACTCAGAGGGATAAAATTTTAATTTTTCGCGACCACTCGTGACGGTTCATCTGGTACTGAATCTAACGGTTTAATTTTCTTTAAAATACTTCCACGGAGCTCAGAGGTGTGTTTCTAATACATTTTTTACACCATTTAACAGACTTCGCCCATAAAGAAACTTTGATTACACTTCCTTGTCTGGGGTGAACCATATTCATGTTGACAAATGTGGAAAAGGTAAGAATGAGAATGAGTATCTTGTATTATGTATTTGACCGGTTTCGAATATATCTTCATCGGAAACATGTATTTCTGATGATAATACATCTCTTCTATTGTGAAGATGTTTCATTTTGATTCATACCTTTTCTACACTCATCTGGGGATGAATGAAAGGCGCTTTCATTCATCCCCTCTATGCTGTGCGTTTTAGCGTTCTCGTCTAGTCATGTTGCTGACCTGTCATCAAACCCTTCGCTGCCAGTGGATGCTAACCCCGGCCATTCCTTGCGCACACAGGGTAATTTTAGAAATAGTTAAAAGGCAGCCGGTCACTTGAACAAAAAACATTGTAACAAATGGAATTAAACTATATTATTCTACTTCTTTTTGATTTGGTGTCAAGTTTTCAATGATCTTTAAAAAATATAGAATGAAGTTATTAGTTGTTTGAGTCTTCCCCAATGTCTAAGGCCTACCATATCTGGTCAAACAATAGTGTGCCTTATGAGACTTAGATTCCATACTTTGCACTAATATCCCAATCTTGAAATCACTAATGCTTTCCGTAGTGGCAGTAGGTGTTCTGGATCTCTGCACATATAACTTTTCCTTTATTGAAGTACCAGCTCAATGTGGTGTCTGAAGCTCATATCATTACTTTTGAACAAGCTTTTTAAAAATCTATTGTCAACAGAGTATACCGGCATTGGGCTTCCAGTTGGACTGATACTATGCTTTCCAAAATATCAGCATTTAAAATCATATCTTCTTCACTTGCCCATATACAAATAGCATGCATGTCCATGCATGTCCTCTATCAAACTTAATGGTATACTTATACAAGCATTAGTAAAAAATATTATTCTAGTGTTAAATAATTGCAATGACCACAACCATAATTAAGAACGGCAGTCGTACAGGAGCTAACCCTTACTCAAATTCTAACAAATGAATTTATGGGATATAATTTAGGATTCATTCCAACATCTAAATCCGATGTAAACAGTACTGACCTACAGATTAAGATTTTTTTTTTTTTCATAATGCGAATTTTTGTGGGCATGTTTCATTTGCATGAAAATGTTATAGATGAGTTTAAGGTAACAAAACACTTCTTAAACACAGGCCCTCACTGATGTTTCAGGGTCCATCAACTTACAAGATCATTATGGCTTATTTAGGCAGATGCTGATTTACAGGTTTGTTCACATTTGGCAACAGATATTTGCTTCCATTCTCTACCTTCACTTTCAGTGGTTGGGGGCTTGACTTTCCCCATAACACGATAATACTTTTGCTTGATAGCACCCAGCCATGTCTTAAGGTTCTCTGGATCCTTAGGTGCCTCCTCCTCTTGCCAGACACATTTACCATGCTTCTTTGGGTGAAGATTTGGGAAATGATGTAACATTTTGGACAAGTTCTTGCACAGGAATTGTTCATTACTTTCGCCAGGCATTTTAAGCTTAACCCATAGATCAGATTCCACATTAGAGGCACCACCAATTTGTACCTGGGTCGAGGTGGACCAAGGTCGTCTCTTGCCCCGAGAAATCCCTGAATTCATCGAAGTTCCTGGCGCGCACTATATATAAACATGTATGTATAAACCAGTTGAGATTAAGACTGTAACCGTTAGAGAATACGTAGTTTCTATATACCATTCTTCGGGTTGTGGTAGAGTAGGGTTATGTACACTATTTGTAAAGTGTTGGCCTGATGTGCTGCATACTTCATTAGCACAAGTCTGCTGGGTAGCGGTTTGGACATTAGCCAATGAAGTACCTACATCAGAGAGACCATTTGGTACATACACCGCATGAACGTTTGCCTCACTGCCCACTAGCTGTGTCTGCATCTGTAACGTTTTCTAGTACAAGTATAGGCTGCTGATTACGTACTTGATCATAGCTGTTATAGGAATTCGGATAGTTTTGTATGAATGACATTGAATTCACGTCTGAGACTTCAGGACCTTGTGTAATTCCTCGTTGATCATACTGATTGTATATTTCCTGTTCTTCAGAGTATCCATCATAGTTTCTGCTGAGACGAGAAGCCTGGTTACTGATTAAAGTTTGGTCAGATCCTCCTACATGGTCCTCCACAAGCATGTTCTGAAGCGGGTATTGAGAACTGGTGTCTTGTTGAAGGATTACCTCGTTAGGATCTACGCTTCTCATTTCTACTTCCTGATCATCTCCACGGGTACTCGCCTCGTTACATGCAGACTGCAGCTGGTCACGATGAGATGCCTCAGGTAAATACCTCTGGAAGTAGACCTGGCCATCGGTTTGGACATTAGCCAATGAAGAACCTAGATCAGAGAGACCATTTGGTACATACACCACATGAACGTTTGCCCCACTGCCCACTAGCTGTATGTCTGCATCTGTAACGGGTTCTAGTACAAGTATAGGCTGCTGATTACCTACTTGATCATAGCTACTACAGGAATTCGGATGATTTTGTATGAATGACATTGAATTCACGTCTGAGACTTCAGGACCTTGCGTAATTCCTCGTTGATCATACTGATTGTACATTTCCTGTTCTTCAGAGTATCCATCATAGTTTCTGCTGAGACGAGAAGCCTGGTTACTGATTAAAGTTTGGTCAGATCCTCCTACATGGTCCTCCACAAGCATGTTCTGAAGCGGGTATTGAGAACTGGTGTCTTGTTGAAGGATTACCTCGTTAGGATCTACGCCTCTCATTTCTACTTCCTGATCATCTCCACGGGTACTCGCCTCGTTACCTGCAGACTGGAAGTAGACCACCAAGTGAACATACATTATGCGCTTGTCATGGAAGCATTCGAAGCAACTATTTATTTATGTATTTCTGTAGTTCCACATGCCTGCGTAGTTACAGCATTGTATTGCCATATAACTGCACACAACAATAACAATCAGAGGTAGAACAAGCCAGAACTTACCTCCATTTTCGCTCGCTTGCGTTTCTAGTTGCAGAACATTTTCTTTCAATGGGTGTTCATCTGCAAATGACAGAAGTTGAACAATAAATCACGAATAGGTATAAAACAACTTTTTAGGCTAACTATTTTACGGTCTATGTTTGTAAATTCTATATCACTTTATCCAGAGTATGAACATCAGTGAAGAAAAAACACGAGTCATCCCTGCCTACCACTGTGAGGCTGACGCTCCCCATTTATGCTTCCATGGTAAAAAGAGACCTACGGCCGGTTTGTTAAATTTGGGGAAGGCCCGACCCAGTGCTTATTTTAGGGTTAACTTCTTATTTTGATTTGTTAAACGATTTCAACGCAATTGTTTTGTGCCTGACACGTGAAATATTATTGGAACTCCATCGAGAAAACTCGGCAGGCCTACCCCCATCCCTAAAGGCAATCCACAATTTTAATATAAGTTTGAAATATCAAAAATACTCTCTGAGTTTTTCATATAGCAGCTAATTACAAACTTAAAATTAATAAGCGACTTTAAAATGAATCTGTTAATTTTAAAAAATTGAATACCTTTTTTTTTTAGAAAAACTATGATCAATCCTTCAGAGTTTTACCGGCCAAACGTCAACACTGCTTGCAGCAGCTCACGATATTTGAGCTTAATTAGCCTTTTCTCGTAATGCTGGTGTTGACACCTTCTGCTGTCGTCTGGGAAATCAGTTTGAAGACGGCAAGTTACTCACTGTGTATATGAAATAACCTAAGTTACGAAAAATAAGATATGTGACTAAAGGTGTTTATAGCCCTCCTGACATTCCAATCAGTACTGTTTTTAGACAAAATTATTACAAATATCAAGACATTTATTTAAATAAATTACATGGACTTTTGAAAATATTATATAAATATGACCATAGTTTTCTCTCTCTCTCCCCTCTCCCTCTCTCTCTCTCTCTCTCTCTTTCTCTTTCTCTCTCTCTCTCTCCTCTCTCTCTCTCTCTCTCTCTCCTCTCTCTCTCTCTTCTCTCTCCTCTCTCCTCCCCCTCCCTCCCTCTCCAGTCTCTCCCTCCCCCCATCCTCTCTTCTCTCACTCACCCACTCACAACCCTCTCCCCCCATCCTCCCCCTTCTCCTCTCAGTGATGCTGTATTTATCTATCCAATGTATCTTCATTTTTATTATTTTCTTGGGTACAGATGAGGTAAGCGCATTTGAAGTGTCCCGGTGACCTTCTCCCACCCCTCTCCTCGTAATCAATATTGGCAAGATCATGCACTTTCCCCAGTGGATACCGTGAATTTGTGCCTCGCGTATGAGGATAAGCGCAATGCTCTCCCCGTCTGATTCACTCTCGAGAAGGTGCAATTTATTTTCCTCCTCGTCGTAGCAGCTCACTATCCTTACCGCGCGCGCTTCCATCAAGCTGGACAGGAGAACAGGGGTACCAACTCGGTTCGCAACATCGGCGGAGCGTTTGGGTCCCAGCGCCCAAGTGCCCAACGGGTAGCCTATGGCCCCACGCAAATTTTACCCTGGCTCGG